ACTTCCGGTCTCGTTTCTGTCATAACTCCAACCGTTTTTCCGGAATCGACCATCGAAAAATCGAGATTTTTAGAAATTCTCACAAATTCGCATTTCGTGCCGATTCTTTCGAAAATGTTGCTCCGTGACCATCAACACCGTATATTTTTGGAATCAGCACGTCGAGGTCTACGTCCCTGAATTTTTTCAGAATTTTTAGACGACTTTTTTAAAAGTAAAATTTTTCAAATCTTCAAATTTCGGCCAATTTTTTAAATTTTCGAAACTTAACTAAACACATTTTCTTGTAGATTTCGAGCTCTAGAACTCACTTCCGGTCTCGTTTCTGTCATAACTCCAACCGTTTTTCCGGAATCGACCGTCGAAATATCGAGATTTTTAGAAATTCTCACAAATTCGCATTTCGTGCCGATTCTTTCGAAAATGTTGCTTCGTGACCATCAACACCCTATATTTTTGGAATCAGCACGTCGAGATCTACGTCCCTGAATTTTTTCAGAATTTTTAGACGACTTTTTAAAAAGTGAAATTTTTCCAATGGTCCCCCCTTCTTCAAATTTCGGCCAATTTTTGACATTTTCGAAACTTAACTAAACACATTTTCTCGTAGATTTCGAGCTCTAGAACTCACTTCCGGTCTCATTTCTGTCATAACTCCAACCGTTTTTCCGGAATCGACCGTCGAAATATCGAGATTTTTAGAAATTCTCACAAATTCGCATTTCGTGCCGATTCTTTCGAAAATGTTGCTTCGTGACCATAAACACCGTATATTTTTGGAATCAGCACGTCGAGATCTACGTCCCTGAAGTTTTTCAGAATTTTTTGACGACTTTTTTAAAAGTGAAATTTTTCCTTCTTCAAATTTCGGCCAATTTTTGACATTTTCGAAACTTAACTAAACACATTTTCTTGTAGATTTCGAGCTCTGGAACTCACTTCCGGTCTCGTTTCTGTCATAACTCCAACCGTTTTTCCGGAATCGACCGTCGAAATATCGAGATTTTTAGAAATTTTCAAAAATTCGCATTTCACAGCGATTCTTTCGAAAATGTTGCTTCGTGACCATCAACACCCTATATTTTTGGAATCAGCACGTCCAGATCTACGTCCCTGAATTTTTTCAGAATTTTTAGATGACTTTTTTAAAAGTGAAATTTTTCAAATGGTCCCCCCTTCTTCAAATTTCGGCCAATTTTTGACATTTTCGAAACTTAACTAAACACGTTGTCTTGTAGATTTCGAGCTCTAGAACTCACTTCCGGTCTCGTTTCTATGATAACTCAAACCGTTTTTCCGGAATCCACCGCCGAAATATCGAGATTTTTAGAAATTCTCAAAAATTCGCATTTCGTGCCGATTCTTTCGAAAATGTTGCTTTGTAACCATCAACACCCTATATTTTTGAAATCAGCACATCGAGATCTACGTCCCTGAATTTTTTCAGAATTTTTAGACGACTTTTTAAAAATTGAAATTTTTCCAATGGTCCCCCCTTCTTTAAATTTCGGCCAATTTTTGACATTTTCGAAACTTAACTAAACACGTTTTCTTGTAGATTTCGAGCTCTGGAACTCACTTCCGGTCCCGTTTCTGTGATAACTCCAACCGTTTTTCCGGAATCGACCGTCGAAATATCGAGATTTTTAGAAATTCTCACAAATTCGCATTTCGTGCCGATTCTTTCGAAAATGTTGCTTCGTGACCATCAACACCCTATATTTTTGGAATCAGCACGTCGAGATCTACGTCCCTGAATTTTTTCAGAATTTTTAGACGAGTTTTTAAAAAGTGAAATTTTTCCAATGGTCCCCTTTCTTCAAATTTCGGCCAATTTTTGACATTTTCGAAACTGAACCAAACACATTTTCTTGTAGATTTCGAGCTCTAGAACTCACTTCCGGTCTCGTTTCTGTCATAACTCCAACCGTTTTTCCGGAATCGACCGTCGAAATATCGAGATTTTTAGAAATTCTAACAAATTCGCATTTCGTGCCGATTCTTTCGAAAATGTTGCTTCGTGACCATCAAGACCCCATATTTTTGGAATCAGCACGTCGAGATCTACGTCCCTGAATTTTTTCAGAATTTTTAGACGACTTTTTAAAAGTGAAATTTTTCCAATGGTCCCCCCTTCTTCAAATTTCGGCCAATTTTTACATTTTCGAAACTTAACTAAACACATTTTCTTATAGATTCCGAGCTCTAGAACTCACTTCCGGTCTCGTTTCTGTCATAACTCGAACCGTTTTTCCGGAATCGACCGTCGAAATATCGAGATTTTTTGAAATTCTCACAAATTCGCATTTCGTGCCGATTCTTTCGAAAATGTTGCTTCGTGACCATCAAGACCCCATATTTTTGGAATCAGCACGTCGAGATCTACGTCCCTGAATTTTTTCAGAATTTTTAGACGACTTTTTAAAAGTGAAATTTTTCCAATGGTCCCCCCTTCTTCAAATTTCGGCCAATTTTTACATTTTCGAAACTTAACTAAACACATTTTCTTATAGATTTCGAGCTCTAGAACTCACTTCCGGTCTCGTTTCTGTCATAACTGCAACCGTTTTTCCGGAATCGACCGTCGAAATATCGAGATTTTTAGAAATTCTCACAAATTCGCATTTCGTGCCGATTCTTTCGAAAATGTTGCTTCGTGACCGTCAACACCCTATATTGTTGGAATCAGCACGTCGAGATCTACGTCCCTGAATTTTTTCAGAATTTTTAGACGATTTTTTAAAAAGTGAAATTTTTCCAATGGTCCCTCCTTCAAATTTCGGCCAATTTTTGACATTTTCGAAACTTAACTAAACACATTTTCTTGTAGATTTCGAGCTCTAGAACTCACTTCCGGTCTCGTTTGTGTGATAACTCCAACCGTTTTTCCGGAATCGACCGTCGAAATATCGAGATTTTTAGAAATTCTCAAAAATTCGCATTTCGTGCCGATTCTTTCGAAAATGTTGCTTCGTGACCATCAAGACCCTATATTTTTGGAATCAGCACGTCGAGATCTACGTCCCTGAATTTTTTCAGAATTTTTAGACGACTTTTTAAAAAGTGAAATTCTTCCAATGGTCCCCCCTTCCTCAAATTTCGGCCAATTTTTGACATTTTCGAAACTTAACTAAACACATTTTCTTGTAGATTCCGAGCTCTAGAACTCACTTCCGGTCCCGTTTCTGTGATAACTCCAACCGTTTTTCTGGAATCCACCGTTGAAATATCGACATTTTTAGAAATTCTCAAAAATTCGCATTTCGTGCCGATTCTTTCGAAAATGTTGCTTCGTGACCATCAACACCCTATATTTTTGGAATCAACACGTCGAGATCTACGTCCCTGAATTTTTTCAGAATTTTTAGACGACTTTTTAAAAAGTGAAATTTTTCCAATGGTCCCCCCTTCTTCAAATTTCGGCCAATTTTTGACATTTTCGAAACTGAACTAAACACATTTTCTTGTAGATTTCGAGCTCTAGAACTCACTTCCGGTCTCGTTTCTGTCATAACTCCAACCGTTTTTCCGGAATCGACCGTCGAAATATCGAGATTTTTAGAAATTCTCACAAATTCGCATTTCGTGCCGATTCTTTCGAAAATGTTGCTCCGTGACCATCAACACTCTATATTTTTGGAATCAGCACGTCGAGATCTACGTCCCTGAATTTTTTCAGAATTTTTAGACGACATTTAAAAAGTGAAATTTTTCCAATGGTCCCTCCTCCAAATTTCGGCTAATTTTTGACATTTTCGAAACTTAACTAAACGCATTTTCTTGTAGATTTCGAGCTCAGAACTCACTTCCGGATTCGTTTCTTTGATAACTCCAACAGTTTTTCCGGAATCGACCGTCGAAATATCGAGATTTTTAGAAATTCTCACAAATTCGCATTTCGTGCCGAATCTTTCGAAAATGTTGCTTCGTGACCATCAACACCCTATATTTTTGGAATCAGCACGTCGAGATCTACGTCCCTGAATTTTTTCAGAATTTTTAGACCACTTTTTTAAAAGTGAAATTTTTCCAATGGTCCCCACTTCTTCAAATTTCGGCCAATTTTTGACATTTTCGAAACTTAACTAAACACATTTTCTTGTAGATTTCGAGCTCTAGAACTCACTTCCGGTTTCGTTTCTTTGATAACTCCAACCGTTTTTCCGGAATCGCCCGTCGAAATATCGAGATTTTTAGAAATTCTCACTAATTCGCATTTCGTGCCGATTCTTTCGAAAATGTTGCTTCGTGACCATCAACACCCTATATTTTTGGAATCAGCACGTCGAGATCTACGTCCCTGAATTTTTTCAGAATTTTTAGACGACTTTTTAAAAAGTGAAATTTTTCCAATGGTCCCCCATTCTTCAAATTTCGGCCAATTTTTGACATTTTTGAAACTGAACTAAACACATTTTCTTGTAGATTTAGAGCTCTAGAACTCTCTTCCGGTCTCGTTTCTTTGATAGTTCCAACAGTTTTTCCAGAGTCGGCCTTTGAAAATTCGAATTTAAAAAAAAAATTTGTTTTGAAAAAACAACAGTGGTTAGGAAAAAATATTTGTTTATCGTTTTTGCCAAATGCGCATCAGTTTTATCACTTTAAAATAAAAAAAACACACCCAAATCTTAAGCGAAGTTATGCAACCAATTATACACAGCAGCATACTTTTTAACTAACAATTTTGCCTGCTCAGGTTTTTTGAGCGATTCAACCTATTTAAACTTCTTAAATTTTCAATGGAAAAGACCCTCAAACATGAGAAATTAGCGCTTCAGAATCACCAAACGCAGTAATCCACTAAATTGCTTGTAAAATTCCACTAAGCAATTAATTTCTATAGACGTAACGTAACGAAAAAAACCCCTGACGTTGCGCAACAGGTTCGTCGACCCGAAACCCCCTCAAGTCATCCCATTCCCAATTCCCCATGAGTCACCGCTCCAATAATGAAACTCCCCAGTATGAAACAATTCAATTTTATTTGAAATACTTCTTCCGTTTAGGAACCAAAATTTCTTAAAGTCAGTCTTAATAATAATAAAACCTTATAAAATGAAGTAAACTAAGTACACATAAATTAAATTATTTACAATAAAATATTAAACTTTTTTCCAGTGTGCTACAATCATGTGAGTTAAAACCACATAAATAAAATTATTGCTCGACATCGAATCGCCATTAAAATCGTACAGCTGCCTTATAATAAGTTAAAATCAATAAATTATTGCAACAGTGATATGACACAATTGTGGTACACTGTGAAAAAAAATCGACGCACCGTCACAACATCGGACGCGTCGGTGGTCACGTGCGCATCCCTGACGTCATCAATTCCGCGACGGCATTAGTTCGAGGAATCGTCAAAAAACAAAAAACGCAAAAATTAAAATGTACAGTTGATCACAGAAGTAATGTGCGGGTCGCGGGCGTGCGGCCGAGGTACACCCCGTCGCAGAGGCGGCGATGCCCCACGTGACCCCGCCCGAGCACTTAGATGCCGTATTTGAGCTGTGAATCGTTATTGTTTCCATTTTTCATTTTCAATATGTAAAAATAAATGACTTTTAAAAAGTAATAATGATCACAATGGAGAGAAAAAGTGCTGTGCGCAGCCAGGCCTTGAAATTATACATATCGTCATGAAAGAATGCTGTCCAGGTCCGCCAAGGCCGTGTTCTGCTGGAGGTTCAGGATCGAGTCGATGGCGGACTGGACCTGCTCGTCGATGCTGTTGTTCTCGACCTCGTTCTCGTACGAGTCGCCCTGGCCTTGCTGTTCGAAACTGTTCGGGTGATGATGAGTATTAATCCCACTACTGACACTTTGTACACTACTGTTATTATTTAAAACACTATTATTATGTACACCTTCACTACTTCTCTTATTGTGTTTGTCGACGCGAAACCTCTTCAGAGTCTCGAGGCGCGAGTCGCTGCTGGCGGTCCGCTTCGGCGGCTGGAGGTGGGCGTGCGCGTTCGCGACCATGGGCGGGCCGGGGGGCGCGGCCTGCGCCTGCCGGGGGGGCGGGGCCTCGTCCTGCTGCGGCAGGCAGCCGAGCTCGCGCTGGATGCACGCCCACTCGTCGTAGTCCTCCGGCTGGCCGGGGGGCGGCGCCTCGGCGGCCGCGGGAGGCGCCGGCGGTTGCAGCTCCATTACTTGCGCCGCCTCCTCGGCCTCCTGGCGCAGGCGCATCATCGACTGGCGCTCCTCGGACAGGTACATGCGGTCTAGCATCATGAGTTCGGAAGTCTGCACGGGTCTCTGCAAACGGCCGGTTTAGATCTGCGAGGGGTGGAGGGGCGGCGGCGGGAGCCCGAGCGAATTTTACGGAAATTTTCATTTTTTTTTTATTTTAATCTACAGTCACAAAAAAATTCGTTTAAAGGCAACAAGAAAAGGGGGAAAAGCACCAAGAAAAGAGAGAAAAGGCAGAACAAGAGGCCAAAAAGGCGATTGAAAAAGGTGAAAAAAGCGAAAAATGTGAGAAGAAATGGGTAAAAAGTCCATAAAAAAGGGGGGAAAAGGCAACAAGAAAAGAGGAAAAGGGGACGAAGAACAGGGGGAACATGCAAAACAAGAAAAGGCGTAGATCAAGGCAAAAAACGCTTCGATCGTGGCGAAAGAGGGGACAATTGAAGCGAAAGAGGCGACAATCGAAACGAAAGAGGCAAATTAAAAGCGAAAGAGGAACATTAAAGGTGAAAGGGATATATTAAAGACGATAGAGGCAAATTAAAAGCGAAAGAGGCACATTAAAGGCGAAAGGGGCACCTTAAAGACGAAAGGGCACATTAAAGACGAAAGAGGCACATTAAAGTTGAAAGATGCCGAAAGAAAAGCGAATGGGGTGATAAAAGAGAAAGAAGCGACAATAAAGACGCAAAAGTGACATTATAGGGAAAAAAGGACATTAAAAACGAAAAAGCGACATTATAGGCGAAAGAGGCACATCAAGGACGAAAGAGGCACATCAAGGACGAAAAAGGCACATCAAAAACGAAAGAAGCACATCAAGGACGACACCTTGGATCGTGGGTTCGATTCTCGCCCTGCTCTGGATGTCGTGTATGTCCCCCGTTACCCTGTAATTGGGCCCCCGGCCTGTTGGGTAACGTTAATCAATAAAAAAAAGAGGACGAGAGAGGCACATCAAGGACGAATGAGGCACATCAAGGACGAATGGGGCACATCAAGGACGAATGGGGCACATCAAGGACGAATGAGGCACATCAAGGACGAATGAGGCACATCAAGGGTGAATGAGGCACATCGAGGACGAATGAGGCACATCGAGGACGAATGAGGGGAAAATTATGCTAAAAAGGCTTCAATCATGACGTAAAAGGCGGCATTAAAGTCGTAAAAGACGACATTAAAGGCGAAAGAAGTGATCATCAAGGCGAAAGAGGCGACAATCAAGGCGAAAGAGGCGACAATCAAGGCGAAAGAGGTGGCAATCAAGATGAAAGAGGCGATAACGAAGGCGAAAAAGGTTACGGTCAAGACGAAAAATGCGACAACCAAGGCGAAAAAGGCTTCAATCAAAGCGAAAAATGTACATTAGAGGCGAAAGAGGCGACAATCAAGGTGAAAGAGGCGACAATCAAGGCGAAAGAGGCGACAATCAAGATGAAAGAGGCGATAACGAAGGCGAAAAAGGTGACGGTCAAGACGAAAAATGCGACAACCAAGGCGAAAAAGGCTTCAATCAAAGCGAAAAATGTACATTAGAGGCGAAAGAGGCGCCAATCGTGGTGAAAGAAGCGAATGAGGCGACGTCCCACACGAAAAATGCGACGGCCAAGGCGAAAAAAGCGTCGATCAAGGCGAAAAACGCGTCAATCAAGGCGAAAAAGGCGTCAATGAAGGCGAAAAAGGCGTCAATGAAGGTAAAAAAGGCGTCAATGAAGGCGAAAAAGGTGTCAATGAAGGTAAAAAAGGCGTCAATGAAGGCGAAAATCGCGTCAATGAAGGCGAAAAGGGCGTCAATGAAATCAAAGAAGGCGTCAAGAAAGCGAAAAATGACAAAACGGTGACAAAAAGGACGAAAAACGCTACAAAAAAAAGGTGATAAGGACGAAAATGACTACAATAAAAGTGAAAAATGCGACATTAAAGGCAAAAGACGCACATTAAAGGCGAAAAAGGCGACAAGAAAAGCAGAAAGAGGGGACAAGAAAAGCGAAAGAGGCGACAAGAAAAGGCGAAAGAGGCGGCAAGAGGGCGAAAGAGGCGGCAAGAGGGCGAAAGAGGCGGCAAGAGGGCGAAAGAGGCGGCAAGAGAAGGCGAAAGAGATGACAAGAAAAGGCGAAAGAGGCGACAAGAAAATGCGAAAAAGGCGACAAGAAAAGCCGAAAGAGGCGACAAGAAAAGGCGAAAGAGGCGACAAGAAAAGGCGAAAGAAGCTTCAATCACGACGAAAAAAGCGACAATCAAGGCGAAAGAGGCGACAATGAAAGCAAAAAAGGCGTCAAGAAAGCGAAAAATGACAAAATGGTGACAAAAAGGACGAAAAACGGCACAAGAAAAGGTTATAAGGGTGAAAAAGGCGCCAATAAAGGTGAAATAGCCGATAAATAAGGCGAAAAAGGCAACATTAAAGGCGAAAAAGCCGACAAGAGCAGGCGAAAGAGGCGACAAGAGAAGGCGAAAGAGGCGACAGGAAATGGCGAAAGAGGCGACGAGAAAGGGCGAAAGAGGCGACGACAAAGAGCGAAAGAGGCGACCAGAAAGGGCGAAAGAGGCGGCCAGAAAGGGCGAAAGAGGCGACGAGAAAGGGCGAAAGAGGCGACGAGAAAGGGCGAAAGAGGCGACGAGAAAGGGCGAAAGAGGCGACGAGAAAGGGCGAAAGAGGCGATAAGAAAGGGCGAAAGAGGCGACAAAAAAAGGCGAAACAGGCTTCAATCAAGGCGAAAGAAGCGACAATGAAAGCAAAAAAGGCGTCAAGAAAGCGAAAAAAGGCGTCAAGAAAGCGAAAAATGACAAAATGGTGATAAAAAGGACGAAAAACGGAACAAAAAAAGGTGATAAGGGCGAAAAAGGCGACAATAAATGTGAAATAGCCGATAAATAAGGCGAAAAAGGCAACATTAAAGGCGAAAAAGGCGACAAGAAGAGGCGAAAGAGGCGACCAGAAAAGGCGAAAGAGGCGACAAGAGAGGGCGAAAGAGGCGACAAGAAAAGGCGAAAGAGGCGACAAGAGAAGGCGAAAGAAGCGACAAGAGAAGGCGAAAGAGGCGACAAGAAAGGACGAAAGAGGCGACAAGAAAGGGCGAAAAGGGCGACAAGAAAATGCGAAAAGGGCGACAAGAAAATGCGCAAACGGTGTCCGGAAAATGCAAAAAAGGCGACAAAAACAAGGTGAAAAAGGCGATAAAAACCAGGCGAAAAAGACGAAAAAATAGGGCGAAAAAGGCGGCAAAAACAAAGCGAAAAAGACGAAAAAACAAGGCAAAAAAATGTGTCAAAAAGAAGGCGAAAAGGAAGACGAAAAAGGCGATAAGAAAATGCCAATATGGCGACAGGAAAAGGTGAAAGAAAAAATGAAAAATACGACAAAAAAAGACAGATGAGGCAATAAGAAAAGTGGAAAAAGATTAAAAAAAACGAAATAGGCGACAGAAAAAGGTGAGAAGAAAAGGCCAAAAATGAGTTATTAAAAGCGAAAAAAATATAAAACGAGTGACAAAAAGGTTAAATAACGCAACAAGAAAAGGTGACAAGGACGAAAAAGGCGAAAGAGGCGACAAGAAAAAGCGAAAGAGGCTACAAGAAAAGGCAAAACAGGCAACAAGAAAGGGCGAAAAAGGCGACAAGAGAAGTAGAAAGAGGCGACAAGAAAAGGCGAAAGAAGCGACAAGAAAATGTGAAAACTGTGTCGGGAAAATGCAAAAGGCGACAAAAACAAGGTGAAAAAGGCGATAAAAACCAATCGAAAAAGACGAAAAAACAAGGCAAAAAAAAGTGACAAACAGAAGGCGAAAAGGAAGACGAAAAAGGCGATAAGAAAATGCCAAAATGGCGTAGGAAAAAGTGAAAGAAAAAAAATGAAAAATACGACAGAAAAAGACGGGATGAGACAATAAGAAAGGCGAAAAAAAGGTAAAAAAAAAAGCGAAATAGGCGACAGAAAAAGGTGAAAAGAAAAGGCCAAAAATTCGTCAATAAAAGCGAAAAGACATAAAAGAGTGACAAAAACGTCAAAGAACGCAACAAGAAATCGTGACAAGGACAAAAGAGGTGACAAGAAAAAGCGAAAGAGGCGACAAGAAAACGCGAAAGAGGCTACAATAAAAGGCAAAAGAGGCAACAAGAAAGGGCGAAAGAGGCTACAAGAGAAGGCGAGAGGCGACAAGAAAAGGCGAGAGAGGCGACAAAAAAACGCGACAAGAAAATGCGAAAACGGTGTCCGGAAAATGTAAAAAGGCGACAAAAACAAGGTGAAAAAGATGAAAAAAAAAACAGGGCGAAAAAGGCGGCAAAAATAAGGCGAAAAGGGCGAAAAAGACGAAAAAATAAGGCAAAAAAATGTGACAAAAAGAAGGCGAAAAGGAAGACAAAAAGGTGATAAGAAAATGCGAATATGGCGACAGGAAAAGGTGAAAGAAAAAAGTAAAAATCTGACAAAAAAAGACGGATGAGGCAACAAAGGGTGAAAAAAAAGGTAAAAAAAGCCGAATAGGCGACAGAAAAAGATGAAAAGAAAAGGCCACAAATGCGTCAACAAAAGTGAAAGACATAAAAGAATGACAAAAAGGTCAAATAACGCAACAAGAAATCGTGACAAGGACGAAAGAGGTGACAAGAAAAAGCGAAAGAGGCGACAAGAAAACGCGCAAGAGGCTACAATAAAAGGCAAAAGTGGCAACAAGAAAGGGCGAAAGAGGCTACAAGAGAAGGCGAGAGGCGACAAGAAAAGGCGAGAGAGGCGACAAAAAAACGCGACAAGAAAATGCGACAACGGTGTCTGGAAAATGCAAAACGGCGACAAAACAAGGTGAAAAAGATGAAAAAAAAAACAGGGCGAAAAAGGCGGCAAAAATAAGGCGAAAAGGGCGAAAGACGAAAAAATAAGGCAAAAAAAAAGTGACAAAAAGAAGGCGAAAAGAACACGAAAAAGGTGATAAGAAAATGCGAATATGGCGACAGGAAAAGGTGAAAGAAAAAAAATAAAAATCCGACAAAAAAGACGGATGAGGGTGAAAAAAAAAGCTAAAAAAAAAGCCGAATAGGCGACAGAAAAAGATGAAAAGAAAAGGCCAAAAATGCGTCAACAAAAGTGAAAGACATAAAGAGTGACAAAAAAATCAAAAAACGCAACAAGGACGAAAAAGGCGATAAGTAAAAGCGAAAGAGGTGACAAGAAAAAGCGAAAGAGGCGACAAGAAAAAGCGGAAGAGGCGACAAGAAAAAGCGGAAGAGGCGACAAGAAAAGGAGAAAGAGGCGACAAGAAAAGGCGACACAAAGGGTTAAAAAGATGACACGAAAAGGCTAAAAAGGCGTAAGAAACGAAAAGGCTAAATAGGCGAAAAGAAAAGACTAGCTAAAAAGGCGACACGAAAAGATGAAAAAAGTGACAAGAAAATGCGAAAACGGCGCCCGGAAAATGCAAAAAGGCGACCTGTAAATACGAAAATGGCGACATAGAAGGCGAAAAAGGCGACATTAGAGGCCAAAAAGGCGACACAGAGGCGAAATAGGCGACATTAAAGGCGAAAAAGGCGAGAATCGAGGTGAAAGAGGCGACAAACAAGGCAAAAGAGGTGACAAGCAGGCGAAAGTGGCGACAAGCAAGACGAAAAAGGCGACATGAATAGGCGAAAAAGGCGACAAGAATAAGCGAAAAAGGCGACAAGAATAAGCGAAAAAGGCGTCAAGAAAAGGCGAAAAAGGCAACAAGAAAATGCGAAAGAAGCGACAAGAAAATATGAAAAAGACGGCAAGAAAATGTGAAAAAGGCGACAAGAGAAAGCGAAAACGGCGTTCGGAAAATGCAAAAAGGCGACCTGAAAATACGAAAAAGCGACATTGAAGGCGAAAAAGGCGAGAATCGACGCGAAAAAGGCGAGAATCGAGGCGAAAAAGGCGAGAATTGAGGCGACAGATGCAAGGGTCGAGGCGAAAGAGGCGACAAACAAGGCGAAAGAGGTGACGGTCAAAACGAAAAAGGCGACAAGAAAAGGCGAAAGAGTCGACATTAAGGCGAAAAAGGCGACATTAGAGACAAAAAAGGCGACATTAAAAGCGAAAAAGGCAAGAATCGAGGTGAAAGAAGCAAGAGCCGAGGCGAAAGAGGCGACAAACAAGGAAAAAGAGGTGACAAGCAAGGCGAAAAAGGCGATAAGCAAGACGAAAAAGGCGATAAGCAAGACGAAAAAGGCGACATGAATAGGCGACAAGAAAAGGCGAAAAAGGCGATAAGAATGGCGAGAAAGGTGATGGAGGCGAAAAAAACGACAAGAAAAAGCGAAAAAGGCGATAAGAACGTGACAATATAATGACAGGAAAAGGTGAAAAAGAAAAAAATGAAAATGATGACAAGAAAAAGTCGAATGAGGCGATAAAAAAGGTAAAACGAAAAGGTAAAAAAGGCGTCAATTAAAGCGAAAAAAGGCGACTATCAAGGCAAAAAAGGATACAATGAAGGCGAACAGAAAAGGTAAAAAAGCGAAAAAGGTGACGAGAAAAAGGGAAAAATCCCATAAGAAAAGGCAGAAAAGGCCGCAAGAAAAAACAAAAAAGGGTGGCAAAAAGGGAGAATCAAAAAACGCGATTTAAAAAAGACACCAAAAAAATATCAAAAAGGGGGGGTTACATAAAAAGTAATAAATTAAAGACAAAAGTTATAAAAATAGTGGAAAAAAGACGATAGAACCTCGTAAATTTCAGATAGGATTTATCCAGAAAATTTTACGATGACGTCATCAAGTTTTTGAAGCGGACAAACAGACATATTTTGATTAGTGAATTACCATGATCACGATAAGCTTAAAACATTTGCAACAATTTAGAGAATTTTGATTTTTTTTCAAAAATTCGAGCGTCTAGAGCGGAAAATAAAGGTGGAGTCATAAACCACAAGTATAGAAGTATAGAATCGATGTACTAGGTTCGGAAAAGGAAAAGGGACCTACTTTTTCGTACTCTAGGGGTTATGAAAAGTCTAGAATCCAATAAAAATGAAACCTTCACATAAAATTCGCGTGCGGGCTCCCCGAATCCATACGCGTACTCACCATACTCTCCTTCATTAATAAATATTTATATTTATCCACCATTTTCGCGTACTTCGCTATGAAGTGTTCGGCAGTCAATTCGAAAATCTCGTCGGCTTTGTGCAGGTCCTTCTGCGACAAAACCGGCTGATCCATGCAGTGGTAGCGAATCAGGCGGATACAAGCGTCTTTCTTATCCCTGAAGGGCGTGTGAATGTCGGGTTTGACGGCGCCCGCTTGGTCTTGGTTCAGCTGGGCCTCGATCCTTCAAACAAACAAACTAAGCATCACGCGGCCGCAGAAAAAACACTCTTACAGATGCGCTTTCTTCGCTATCGAGTGTCCGTGCTGCGGCGGCGGTTGGTGTTGCGGCGGTTGCGGGGGCATCGGCAGTGCTTGCGGTTGCTGAGGCGGCGGCTTGAGGTGCTGCTGCTGCTGCGGCGGCGGCGGAGGCGGCTGCGGCTGCTGCTGCGCCACCACCTGCGGTACCGTCAGTCTGGGTCCTCCCGCCATTTGACTAGTTGCGTTTTGTTGTACTGGATGCTCGGACGATGGGATGGACACAGATATCCTAGGTACTTGTGACGATATAACCTAGAAGTGCGAACGTGAGTGAGGCGGTTTCGTCGCGGAGTTTTATTGCGTACGGTGTAAAGAAACGAGTGCATTGTCTGCGATAAAAATAACTAAATCGCGCATTATATCGAGAGGGAACTGATAAGGTATCGATGTATCGGCGTGGAAGTTGGAAATTTATTATAATAAATAATACGTCACGGGCGACAATCGATAAGTTAAAAATCGGTTGAAGGTTAGTTCGACGGAACATGATTCTTCTTATCTTTTTTGAAAAATTGGAAAAAATTTTTGCAAATTTTGTTTTTTGATAAACTTTATAAAGTGTAAACCACTGGCCTAAATAACACTCCTGCAGCTTTTCTGAATTGAATTTACAATTTTTCATTTAAATTTTTCAGTTTTTCAGTTTTCCAAATTTCGAATTTTTCGTTTTAATTTTTATTTTCTTTATTTTTTTCAAGTATTCGATTTAATTTTCACATTTTTTAATTTTTCGTTTTTTCAATTTCAGATTTTTCACTTTTTTGTTTCTCAATTTTTGATTTGCAATTTTTCTAGTTTCCAATTTCAAGATGTAATAATAATAATAATTTTTAAAATATTCACCTTTCTCAATTCTTTGATTATACAATTTTTCATTTTTCAATTGTTGGATTTTATAACTTTTTCGTTTATTCGACTTTTCAATTTTTCGATTTTTAATTTTTCAATTTTTAGATTCATTTTTTCATGTCTTCAAATTTTCGGTTTGCATTTATTCGTTTAGGTTTTTTCCCGATTTTTCAATGTTCCGATTTTATAATTATAATTTTTTGTTTTTTCAGTTTCAATTTTTTCAATTTACCTTTTCGGTTTTCATTTTCTTATTTTTTTTTCAATTTGTCCCTTTTTCAAGCTTCTGACTTCATTTTTCTTTTTTCAATGGGAAATTTTTTTGTTTTCAAATTTTTCGACTTTTCCACTTTCAGATTCTTCACATTTTCGTTTTTTCAATTCCAGTTCCAGGATTTTTCATTTTTTTTATTTCATCAATTTTTCGTTTTTTTTTAATTTTGTAATTTTTCTTTTTTCAATGTGAAATTTTTCAATTTTTTGATTAGCAATTTTTCTGTTTTCAAATTTTCGATTTTTTAACTTTGATTTTTTAATTTTTGGATTTTTAAATTTTAGATTTTTCGGTTTCATGAGTTTTAAGTTTTTTGTTTGTCAGTTTTTGATTTGCAATTTTGAAAATAATAATAAATTGAAAATATTCCCCTTTGTCAATTTTCCGATGTTAGAATTTTTTCATTTATTCAACTTTTCAATTTTTCGATTTTTAATTTTTCAACTTTTAGATTCTTCATTTTTCATTTCTTCAAATTTTCGGTTTGCATTTATTCGTTTAGGTTTTTTCCCGATTTTTCAATGTTCCGATTTTATAATTATAATTTTTTGTATTTTCAATTTCAATTTTTTCAATTTACCTTTTCGGTTTTCATTTTCTTATTTTTTTTTCAATTTGTCCCTTTTTCAAGGTTCTGGTTTCTCAGTTTTTGATTTGCAATTTTGAAAATAATAATAAATTGAAAATATTCCCCTTTGTCAATTTTCCGATGTTAGAATTTTTTCATTTATTCAACTTTTCAATTTTTCGATTTTTAATTTTTCAGCTTTTAGATTCTTCATTTTTCATTTCTTCAAATTTTCGGTTTGCATTTATTCGTTTAGGTTTTTTCCCGATTTTTCAATGTTCCGATTTTATAATTATAATTTTTTGTTTTTTCAATTTCAATTTTTTCAATTTACCTTTTTGGTTTTCATTTTCTTATTTTTTTTTCAATTTGTCCCTATTTCAAGGTTCTGACTTCATCATCTTTCTTTTTTCAATGGGAAATTTTTTGGTTTTCAAATTTTTCGATTTTTCCACTTTCAGATTTTTTAATTTTCGTTTTTTCAATTTCAGTTTCATGATTTTTCAATTTTTTATTTCATCAATTTTTCGTTTTTTTTTTAAATTTTGTAATTTTTCGTTTTTTTTTTAAATTTTGTAATTTTTCTTTTTTCAATTTTTTGACATGCAATTTTTCTGTTTTCAATTTTTTTATTTTTTAACTTTGATTTTTTAATTTTTGGATTTTTAAATTTTACATTTTTCGGTTTCATGAGTTCTGAGTTTTTTGTTTCTCAGTTTTTGATTTGCAATTTTGAAAATAATAATAAATTGAAAATATTTCTCTTTCTCAATTTTCGATTTTAGAATTTTTTCATTTCTCAATCGTTGGATTTTATAACTTTTTCGTTTATTCGACTTTTCAATTTTTCGATTTTTAATTTTTTAATTTTTAGATTCTTCAATTTTTCATTTCTTCAAATTTTCGGTTTGCATGTATTCATTTAGGTTTTTTCCAGATTTTTCAATGTTCCGATTTTATAATTATAATATTTTGTTTTTTCAAAATTCAATTTTTTCAATTTACATTTTCGGTTTTCATTTTCTTATTTTTTTTTTCATTTTGTCCCTTTCTCAAGGTTCTGACTTCATCATGTTTCTTTTTTCGATTTCAAATTTTCATTTCTTTATTTCTCGATTTGTAATTTTTCGTTTCGGTTTTTCATTTCATTTTCTTTATTTTTTCAATTTGTCCGTTTTTCAAAGTTCTGACTTCATATTTTTTCTTGATTTCATTGGGAAATTTTCAGTTTCCAAATTTTTCTATTTTTCCTCTTTTAGATTTTTAAAATTTTCGTTTCTAGAATTTTTGATTTGCAATTTTTTTAGTTTTCATTTTAAACATGTAGTAATAATTTTCAAAATCAATTTTTTTTTTATTTAACGATTTTTGAATTTTTTCATTCAGTTATTGGATTTTATAACTTTTTTCAATTTTTCGATTTTTTAATTTTTCGTTTTTTCAATTTTAGATTTTTCAGTTTTTTGTTTCTCAATTTTTGATTTGAATTTTTTCTAATTTTCACTTTAAATATGTAATAATAATTTTTAAAATATTTCTCTTTCTCAATTTTCCGATTTTAGAATTTGTTCATTTTTTAGCAATTTTTTTTAGTTTTCACTTTAAATATGTAGTAATCATAATAATTCTCAAAATTTATTTTTTTATTTAACGATTTTTGAATTTTTTCATTTTTCAGTTATTGGATTTTATAACTTTTTTCAATTTTAGATTTTTCAGTTTTTTGTTTCTCAATTTTTGATTTGCAATTTTTTTTGTTCGCATTTTAAACATGTAGTAAATAATAATCTTCAAAATATATTTTTTTTTATTTAACGATTTTTGAATTTTTTCATTTTTCAGTTATTGGATTTTATAGCTTTTTTCAATTTTTGGTTTTTTTAATTATTCGTTTTTTCAATTTTAGATTTTTCAGTTTTTTGTTTCTCAATTTTTGATTTGAAATTTTTCTAATTTTCACTTTAAATATGTAATAATAATTTTTAAAATATTCCTCTTTCTCAATTTTCCGATTTTAGAATTTGTTCATTTTTTAGTAATTTTTTGGTTTTCATTTTAGATATGTAGTAATAATAATAATCTTCCAAATATATTTTTTTATTTAACGATTTTTGAATTTTTTCATTTTTCAGTTATTGGATTTTATAGCTTTTTTCAATTTTTCGATTTTTTAATTTTTCGCTTTTTCAATTTTAGATTTTTCTGTTTTTTGTTTCTCAATTTTTGATTGGCGATTTTTCTAATTTTCACTTTAAATTTGTAATAATGATAATAATTTTTAAAATATTCCTCTTTCTCATTTTTCCGATTTCAGAATTTTTTCATTTTTTAGTAATTTTTTTAGTTTTCATTTTAAATACGTAGTAATAATCTTCAAAATCTATTTTTTTTTATTAAACTATTTTTGAATTTTTTCATCTTTCGGTTATTGGATTTTATAACTTTTTTCAATTTTTCGATTTTTTAATTTTTCGTTTTTTTCAATTTTTTGTTTCTCAATTTTTAATTTGCAATTTTTCTAATTTTCACTTTAAATGTGTAATGATAATAATTTTTAAAATATTCCTCTTTCACAATTTTCCGATTTTAGAATTTTTTCATTTTAAATATGTAGTAATAATAATAAACTTTAAAATAATTTTTTTTAATTTTGCGATTTTTTAATTTTCCAATTTTTTTGTTATTGGATTTTATAACTTGTTTATTTATTCAACTTTTCGATTATTAATTTTTCATTTTTTTTAATTTATCGATTTGCAATTTTTCGTTTCGGTTTTTCATTTTCTTTATTTTTTCAATTTCTTGGTTTTTCAAAATTCTGATTTCATATTTTTTATTTTTTTTTTTGTCAATGGGAAATTTTTCGGGTTTCAAATTTTTCAACTTTTCGTTTTTAATTTTTTTTTTTAATTTTACGATTTTTGATTTTTTTCATTTTTGAGTTATTGGATTTTATAACCTTTTTATTTATGAAACTTTCTAATTTTTACATTTTTAATTTTTCAATTTTTAGGTTCAATTTTCCATTTTCCTTATGTTTACAATTTTTTCTTTCGTTTTTTTAATTAATTTTTTATTTTTTCAATTTGTCCGTTTTTCAAATTTATGGATTTTTCGACTTCTAGATTTTCAAATTTTCGTTTTTTCAATTTCAGATTTTTCACTTTAAATATGTAGTAATAATAATAATCGTTGAAATATATATTTTTTTAATTTTACGATTTTTGAATTTTCAGTTATTGGATTTTAAAACTTTTTTATTTACCTATTACACTTTTCAATTTCTCGATTTTTCATTTTTCGTTTCGGTTTTTTATTTTCTTTATTTTAAAAATTTTTTGATTTTTCAATTTGTCCGTTTTTCAAAGTTCTGATTACATAATTTTTCTTTTTTTCAATGGGAAGTTTTTCGGTTTTTGAATTTTTCGATTTTTTTGACTTTCAGATTTTTTCAATTTTCGTTTTTTCAATTTGAGATTTCAGTTTCATAATTTTTCAATTTTTCGTTTCTTCAATTTTTTATTTGCATTTTTTTTAGTTTTCATTATAAATACACACGTAGTAATATTAATAATCTTCAAAATATATTTTTTTAATTATACGATTTTTCGATTTTTAATTTTTCAATTTTTCGTTTCGGTTTTTGATTGTCTTTATTTTTCAATTTGTCCGTTTTTCAAAGTTTTGGTTTCATAATTTTTCTTTTTTTCAATGCCAAATTTTTCACTTTTAAAATTTTTCGATTTTTGGATTTTTAAAATTTTCGTTTCTTCAATTTTTGGTTTACAATTGTTTCAGTTTCCATTTTAAATATAGTCATAATAATTTATTTTTTTTTTTTCAATTTTACGATTTTCGAACTTTTTCATTTTTCAATTAATTGGATTTTATAACTTTTTTATTTTTTATTCAAGTTTTGAATTTCTCATTTTTTCAATCTGTCGATTTGTAATTTGTCGATTTACTTTCTTTATTTTTACAATTTCAATTTTTTCAATTTTTCGAATCTGTAATTTTCCGTTTTGGTTTTTTAATTTCTTAATTTTTTTTTTTTATGTTTCGGTTTTTCAATGCTTTGATTTTGTTTCTTTTTTTCAATATAAAATTTTCCAATTTCTGGATTTTTCAGTTTTTCGTTTCTTCAATTTTTCATTTGAAGTTTTTCTAATTTTCATTTTAATAATGATAATTTAAAAAATGTTCCACATTTTCAATTTTACTTTTTTAGAATTTTTAATTTTTTCAATTACTGGATTTTAAAATTATTGGAGTTTTCAATTTTCGATCTTTTAATGTTGTAGTTTTTCGACTTTACAATTTTGTCGATTCCATAGTTTTCCGATTTTACTATTTTTGGATTTTTTAGTATTTCGATTTTTCAATTTTTTAATTGCAAAAGTGAAAAAACGAAAAAGTATATAATGAAAACTTTGAAAAAAACTAAATATTGGAAATTGAGAACTTTGTAAATTTTGGAAATGACGTCATTGAAGTAAAGAGGGGTCTAATTATTACTAGTGTCACTCCCTACCTGGTTGGGCGCGGCCTCCATCCTCCCCCCCGCCTGTGGCGGCGGCGCTTGCTGCTGCGGCCCCGCCGCTTCGCTCTTACTCGTCGGCTGCTGCTGTTGCCCCCCACCCAAATTCAAACTGGACGGATTAATAATCGTCAGATGATTATTATGGTAATAGACTTTATCCGGGGGCAGCAGCTTCCCCGTCGCCAGTATCTTCTGTTGTTCGGCGAACAGCATCTTCAGCGCCGCCTGGATCTCCGCGTTCCCCGACGTCAGATTCTGCGACAGCGTCTGTATCTGCATCTGGATGTTCTTCAGGTGCTCCTGCTTCTGCGGCGTCAGCTGGATCGTGTGTATCCTCTGGTTCTTGTTCGTGATATTCGGCGCCGTCGACGACGTTATTATGTTAATGTTCCCCGACTCCTCCAGCAGCTGTCCCAGCAGCTTCTCCACGTCCTGGTTCGTGCCGTTCGAGTCGTTCGGCTTCGGCGACGGCTGCGGCGGCAGCTTCGGCGGGCTCTTCTCCTTGATCGACGGCTGCACGATCGCCTGCTTCTGCGGCGGGGAGACGTGCTTCGGCGGCGACTGCAGCGCGGTGATCAGCGTCGACTTGTCCTTCTCCTTGACGGGGTCGTCGAAGGTTTTCTGCTGGATTTTGTGTGGCGGCGGCTGGTGGATCTTCTTCACGGGCTTGATCTTCGGCGAGAGTTTTTTGCACTCGTCGGGGGGCGGCGGCTGCTGCTTGATGTTGTTGGCGTTGCTGTTGGCGCCCGAGTTCGAGTTCGGCCGCTGCATGAAGATGGTCTGCCCGTTCACGGTCAACTGTCCGTTGCGCTTGAGCTGCTCGAGCTGCTCGGGCGTCAAGTTGACCACGTAGGAGGTCGGCTGGTTCGGGGGCGGCTCCTGGGGTGGTTGTTGCGGGACGATTGGTTGGGGGTGCACGGTTTGCACCGGTGGTTGTGTTTTTTGGAACGGCTGCACCTTCAGCACGGGTTGGTTTTGCGGCGGCTGCGGCTGGAACGTGGGGGACTGCGGAGGTATCTGGTGGGTTTGCACCGCTTGGTTTTGGTGCTGGAGCAAACTTTGGAGTTGGCCTTGGATTTGCGACTGGAGACTGTGCAGCGAGTGCATCGGTTGCGGTTGGATGATCTGCATCGGTTGCTGCATCAGCGGCTGCGACTGGACCGTCTGGTGCTGGATCGTCTGCTGCACCGTCTGCTGCTGGAGCGCGTGCTGCGGCTGCATCGTCTGCTGCTGCACCGTCTGGATCGTCTGCGACTGCACCGTCTGCTGCTGGATCGTCTGCACCGTCTGCTGCTGGATGGTCTGCTGGACCGTCTGCTGGTCCATCGACGGCTGCAGCACCAGCCCCCCGTTCAGCCCGAAGATGCTCTGCAGGATCAGCTGCGACTGCAGGTCCTGGTTCAAGGTCGGATCGTGCTGCAGCACCAGCCGCCCGTCCTCCCCCATCGTCAGCTTGAACCCGCCGCTCCGCTGCACCATCAGCCCGTTGTTGATCGTGAAGTTCGGCGCGATGAAGGGGTTGAACGGGATCCCCTGCTGCGGCGAGCTGTTCGAGATCATCCCGCCCTGGAAGTTCTGGTTGAGCACCTGCACCACCGGGGGCGGCGGCGGCGCCACCGCCCCGATCTGCACGTTCCCCATCTTCTTCTCCGGCGGGTTCGTCGGCTCGCTCTCGCTCTGACTCGCGTCGCTCTCGAACTGGATGTCGTCCTCGTCCCCGATGCCCGACAGCTTCATCAAGTTGGCCAAGTCGAGCTTCTTCTTCACCTTGTTCTTGGGCTTCTTCTTCGGCTGGGGCGAGGTCTGGGGACTGGGGTTGACGATGACGTTCTGGGTGGTGATGGGCGCGGGCGGGTTGGTCATCTGCGCCGTGACGTAGGCGGTGGTGGTGGACGGCGCCAGCTGGACGCCGTTGGTGAGGACGCGGACCATGGGCTGGGAGCGGGGGATCTGGAGGAGGGGCTGGCCGCTGGGCTGGAGGATGAGGCCCTGCGGGGCGGCGGTGGGCATCTGGGCGGGGATCTTGGTGGCGGTTTGAGGGCGCAGGATGAACTGGACGCTGGGGGTGGTGAGGAGCGGCATCTGGTTGAGGAGGACGGGCTGGGCGGTGGGCATTATCGTCGCGGTGGCGGGCTGGTGGTTGGTGGGGATGACGATCTGGGGGCTGAAAATGGAAACAATTAAGTGTTTTACATTCGTTGGTAACTGGGTAAAGGACGTTTTAGTTACACGACCATAAATTTTACACAGTCGTTACTCCGGTTTCATTTAAAGTTTTATCAAATCGGCGATTACACCCAAACGGGGCTTTTTGGAGCGAAATCGACGAAATTTTAGTTGCTGACGTCATCTGAAAATTTTGTTGGTCAATCTTAATCATAATCAAAGTGGGTATAACATGATTTTTCTGTGGTTTAAGATTTGTAATTAATTTCTCATGTAAATATCATAAGTTAACTCTAGTGAGTTTCCTTAAGTAGGATTTACTCCGCAAAATTTTGAGATGACGTCATCGATAATTGGTGGGAATAATCAAATTTTAGTTAGCGTTTCACCATCTACACGATATTTCAGAGATTATTATTTGTCAAAGTCGCCATTACACGACAAATAGACAAAAATGGAGATCCTACTTTTTGAGATTGTTTTTTTCGAATAAAAATTTCTTTTGAAAACAAATTTCCAACACAATAAAAGCGTATTAAAAAAAATTGGTCGAAAGTTGTTTCTACAGAACTTCCCCCCTTTCGAGTTGAGTTTTTACTATACATAATTTTGTGATGACGTCATTGACATTTTTACAAGGACACGTATATCAACTTGGATTAATGCACTGGAATACTTGGTAAGATAAGACTGATTGTGGCAATTTAAATACCCCCTAAAAAATTAGAAGGCGGGTGGGCGGAGTGAGTATTTGTTAAAATAAGACTAATTTTGGTAAATATTAAGAGTAATCACTGAAATGAAGTGGGGGTGGGCGGGAGGGGCTATTGCCTTCTTATAAAAGATTCTGCAGGAAAAAGTTAAATTTAGCCCCGCCCACCCACCCGTTCTTTGTTTTTTCTTCAAAAATAAGAAATAAGTGTTATAGCAAATGAGTAGTAAAACGATTAAAGGCCTTTCTATTAGTTACAAAAGAACATACAGGATGTTTCTTTTATCTGATACAACCCTTGTAACTTTTTTATTCTTAAAGATAAACCTCTAGTTATTTGAGTAAATTTCTATCATCCTAAAAGATCAATGTGATAGCAACCTCACATTTTTATTATGGGACACTCGGTATATTTTTTCATAAATGGAAACATGTTTTTTTGTAAAAAATCAAAAGCAACCAATATTCTAAAATCACACTTAAAAAGTTATTCAATAAAATAGACGAAACATTCATATTTATTGATGACAATCTAGTAATTTGAAAAATTGACACTCATCTAAGAAAATAGAGGGTGGGTGGGATCTAGTACTTGTTAAGATAAGATTGATTTTGGTAAATGACATATTCTATAAGAAAAAAAAGGGTGGGTGGGTGGGGCTAAAACTTGCTAAGATAAGACTGAACAATATTAAGAGTAATCATTGGAATGAAGAGGGGGTCGGTGGGTGGTCTATTTCTTCCCTATAAAAGACTCTCTAGGAAGAAGTTAAAGTTAGCCCCGCCCACCCACCCGTTCCCTCATTTTTTTCTTCAGAAATAAGAAATAAATGTTGAAGCAAATAAGTAGTATAACAAAAAAAAAAAAATTCGATTAACGTTTTTTTTTTAACAGCCTACGTTCTATTAGTTGTCATTCTCACTATACAAAAGAATATACAGGGTGTTTCTTTTATTTGATACAACCCTTGTAACTTTCTTATTCTTAAAGATAAACCTGTAGTTCTTGGAGCAAATTGGTATCATTTTAAAAGATCTATGTGTTGGCAACCTCACAGTTTTATTATGACTTCCTATAGAACCGGAAACAACGTCAACTTTATTGTTTTTATAGAACACTAGGTATATTTTTTCATATAAGGAAAGATTGATTTTTTGTAAAAAATCTGCTGAAATAAGATTGACTTTGGTAAATGACATGGCCTCTAAGAAAATAGAGGGCGGGTGGGCGGGTCTAGTATTTATTAAGACAACATCGACTTTGGCAAATGACACATCCTCTAAGAAAAAAAGGGTGGGTGGGCGGGACTAAAACTTGTTAAGATAAAACTGAACAATCTTAAGAGTAGTCAGTGAAATGAAGAAAGGGTGGGTGGGCGGGGCTATTGCTAGCTTATGAAAGATTCTGTAGAAAAAAGTTAAATTTAGCCCCGCCCACCCACCCGTTGTCTCATTTTTTCTAAGATAGGGCTGAACAATATTAAGAGTAATCACTGAAATGAAGAGGGGTGGGTGGGCGGGGCTAATACTTGCTTATGAAAAACACTGGAAGAAAAGTTAAATTAAGCCCCACCCGCCCACCCGTTCTCTAATTTTTTTCTTCAGAAATAGGAAATAAATATTAAAACAAATAAGTAGTAAAATAAAAAAAAAATACGATTAACGTTGTTTTTGCAGCCCATGTTCTATTAGTTCCCATTCCCATTATACAAAAGAACATACAGGGTGTTTCTTTTATTTGATACAACCTCAGTAACTTTTTTACTCTTAAAGATAAACCTGTAGTTATTTGAGCAAATTGGTATCATTTTAACAGATCTATGTGTTGGGAACCTCACGTATTTATTATCACTTCTCGTAGATTCTCGTAGAACAGGAAATGACGTCAAATTTATTGTTTTTATGGAACACTAGGTATATTTTTTCATAAATGGAAAGATTTATTTTTTGTTAAAAATCAAAAGCAACCAAGATTCTAAAATCTTACTTAAAAAGTTATTAAATAAAATAGACGAAAAGTTCATATTTTCATACATGAAAAATTGACACTCAACTCATTTATTTACATAAGTGATCTTTTAAAATGCTACAAATTTGCTCCAAGAACTATATGTTTACCTTTAAAAATAAAAATCTTACAGGGGCTGTATAAAATAAAAGAAACACGTGGTATAATTTACCCCGCCCACCCACCCTGGCTCCATTTCAGTGACTCATTTTGTCTAGTCCGAATGAAAGGTAGATCTCAGGTGAAGAGAGATAAAATCGTTAAAATAGGGGCTGGTATCTGCTGAAATAAGATTAATTTTGGTAAATGACATAGCCTCTAAGAAAGAAAGAAAGGGTGGGTGGGCGGGGCTAAAACTTGCTAAGATAAAACTGAACAATATCAAGAGTAATCACTGGAATGAAGATGGGGCTATTAATAGCTTATAAAAGATTCTGTAGGAAAAAGTTAAATTTAGCCCCGCCCACCCACCCGTTGTCTCATTTTTTCTAACATAGGACTGAACAATATTAAGAGTAATCACTAGAATGAAGAAGGGGTGGGCGGGCGGGGCTATTGCTTGCTTATAAAAGATTCTGTACGAAAAATTAAATTTAGCCCCACCCACCCACCCGTTCTCTCATTTTTTTGTTCAGAAATAAGAAATTTTTCGTAGTAAAACAAAAAAAATACGATTAATGTTTTTTTAACAGCCTACGTTCTATTAGTTCCCATTCTCACTTTACAAAAGAACATACAGGGTGTTTCTTTTATTTGATACCACCCTTGTAACTTTCTTATTGTCAAAGATAAACTTGTAGTTCTTTGGGCAAATTGGTATCATTTTAACAGATCTATGTGATGGCAACCTCACATTTTTATTATCACTTCCTGTAGAAGCGGAAATGACGTCAATTTAATTTTTTATTTATGGAACACTAGGTATATTTTTTTCATAAATAGAAAGACTGATTTTTGTCAAAAATCAAAAGCAACCAATATTCTAAAATCATATTTAAATAGTTATTCAAAAATACACGAAAAATTCATATTTATTTTCATATCCACTAAGAAAAAAAAGGGTGGGTGGGCGGGGCTAAAATTTGCTAAGATAAAACTGAACAATATTAAAAGTAATAACTGGAATGAAGAGGGGGTGGGTGGGCGGGGCTACTACCTGCTTATGAAATACTCTCTAAGAAAAAGTTAAATTTAGCCCCGCCCACCCACCCATTCTCACATTTTTTCTTCAGAAATAAGAAGTAAATGTTATAGCAAGTAGTATAATAAAAAAAATACGATTAACGTTTTTTTAACAGCCTACGTTCTATTAGTTCCCATGCTTACTTAAAAAAAAAAGGTGTTTCTTTTACTTGATACAACCCTTCTAACTTTCTTATTCTTAAAGATAAACCTGTAGTTCTTTGAGCAAATTTGTATCATTTTAAAAGATCTATGTGACGGCAACTTCACATTTTTTTATCACTTCCTGTAGAAGCGGAAATGACGTCAACTTTTTTTTTATGGAACAATGGATACATTTTTTCAAAAACGGAAAGTCTGATTTTTGTAAGCAATAAAAAGCAATCAATATTCTAAAATCATACTTAAACAGTTACTCAAAAATACACGAAAAATTCATATTTATTGACGACAATCTAGTAACTTGAAAAATTAACACTCGTGCAATTTATTGGTAAATGACATATCATCCATGAAAAAAAGGGGTGGGTGGGCGGGGCTAAAACTTGCTAAGATAAAACTGAACAATATTAAAAGTAATAACTGGAATGAAGAGGGGTGGGTGGGCGGGGCTATTGCTAACTTATGAAAGATTCTGCAGAAAAAAGTTAAATTTAGCCCCGCCCACCCACCCGTTGTTTCATTTTTACTAAGATAGGACTGAACAAAATTAAGAATAATCACTGGAATGAAGAGGGGGTGGGTGGGCGGGGCTACTACTTGCTTATGAAAGACTGTAAGAAAAAGTTAAATTTAGCCCCGCCCACCCACCCGTTCTCTCATTTTTTTCTTCAGAAATAAGAAATAAATGTTAGAGCAAACAAGTAGTATAACAAAAAAATTACGATTAACGTTTTTTTAACAACCTACGGTCTATTAGTTCCCATGCTCAGTTAAAAAAAACATACAAGGTGTTTCTTTTACTTGATGCAACCATTATAACTTTCTTATTCTTAAAGATAAACTTGTAGTTCTTTGAGCAAATTTGTATAATTTTAAAAGATCTATGTGATGGCAAACTCACAGTTTTATTATCACTTCGTGTAGAAACGGAAAT